GGTGACATCATAAATTTTTTAGGGGGGACGACCAAATACGTTTTGATCAAAAATTTACCATGCTTATGATAATTTTAAAATATCTTCAAGATTTTGAAGCATTCGGTTTTGTAGTTCCTGAGTAAATCAGTAAAATAAATTTACGCTTTCATTTATTTTCTTGAATCACCCTGTATATGCAAATCCAAAAAATATGAATGGAGTGATAGATCACAAGTACAGACTGATCATATTTTGTACATTTTAGATATGATTTATTCGGCAAATTTTCGAGCTGACGTCATCAAGTTTTTGGAGGGGATAAGCAAATATATTTTGACTAAACATTTATTATGCTCTTTATAACCTTAAAACATCTGCAAGATTTCAGAGCATTCGGTTTTGTAGTTCCTGATTAAATCAATAAAATATATTTACGCATTCATTAATTTTTTTGAGTCACCCTGTATATGCAAATCCAAAAAATATGAATGGAGTGATAGATCACAAGTACAGACTCATCATATTTTGTACATTTTAGATATGATTTATTCCACAAACTTTTGAGCTGACGTCATCAAGTTTTTGGAGGGGATAAGCAAATATTTTTTGACTAAAGATTTATGATGCTCTTTATAGCCTTAAAACATCTGCAACATTTCAAAGCATTCTGGTTAGCAGATTAAAAATTAAATTTCAAAATGTTGTTTTATAATTTTGATTTTTTTTCCAAAAATCTGGACGTTTCGGGTGAAAAGTCGATTCAGAGTTGTAAACTACATGTGTAGGACTATGTTATTTTATACAATTGAAAACCCATTTACTATGTACAATTTTGAAGTGACGTCATCGCATTAGTGGTGGGGATGACTAGACAAATTTTGGTTAGCGTTTTACCATCTACATGATATTCTTAATACAAGTACAAAATTTCACAACAATCGGTCAAATACTTTCGGAGATTATCTGTCTAATAAAAATCCGGGACAACAGACGGACAGACGGACGGACAGACGGACAGACAGACGGAAATGGGAGACCTATTTCTTCGTCTTCTAGGGGTCATGAAAGATCGAGAAAACGTAAAAGTAGAGAGTCGGCCGACGGACTCGATTACAATACTTCCTTTGCTTACGCTCGGGAAGTAAAAATTGGTCGAAGGTTATTTCGACAGAACTTCCCTCTTCTCTGAGTGCAAGTATGAATCTATATATATTATGAGATTTGATTTTACGAATTTTATTTTTTATGATAACCCTTATAAATCAAAATAAAAGTAAGCATGTAAAGGTAAAGAAGTGTGCTACGCGTTTGTGTCAAGTGATTTTTTTAATTACAAAATAATTTTAAAAACTATAAGTGCATTGATAAACCACAAGTATAGATAGTCATAATATTTTTCATATATATCAGAAAGGATTCATCAATTCATCAATTTTTTGGGAATGGATAAACGAATAAATTTTGATTAACGATTTACCATGATTACGATAGTCTTAAAACGTTTGCAAGATTTCAGTGCATTCAGTTTTGCGGTTTCAAAGTTCATTTGCAAATTTTGTTTTACAATTTTGATTTTTTTTCCGAATCTGAATGTCTAGGGTGAAAACTCAACACGGATTCATACACCATAAGTGCAGGAACATCTTATTTTATAAAATTAAAAACAAATTTACTATTGTAAATTTTCCCATTGGTGGTGGAGATGATTTGCCAAATATTGGTTAGCGTTTTACCATGTACATCATATTCCTAATATACGTACAAAATTTGATAATAATAATCGGTCCGGTAGTTTTGGGGGTTATTTATCTAATAAAATTTGACACAGACAGACGAATAGACAGACAGATGGAAACGGTAGACCACTTTTTCGTACTCTAGGGGTCATGAAACGTCTAGAAAACATGAAAGGGGCGATGGACTTGTTTACTACGCTTTCGCTCAGGAAGTAATACCTAAAAACTCTGTGATCTACTTAAATGTAGATTAAAAGGTTGTTATTAGACAGAAAATCTCCGAAACTACTGGGCCGATTCTTGTCAAATGATGGTAAAACGCTAACCAAAATTTGCCTAATCATCTCCACCAATAATGTCATGACCTCATTTCAAAATTGTATCTAGTAAATGGGTTTTAAATAGTATAAAATAACATAGTCCTATACATGTAGTTTATGACTCCGTGTTTTGGACAAAAATCAAAATTATAAAACAACATTTTGCAATTTAATTTTAAATTTGCAAAACCGAATGCTTTGAAATCTTGGAGATGTTTTAACGTTATGATTATCATGATACATTTTTAATCAAAATATATTTACTTTTTATCCTCTCCAAAAAATTGATGACGTCAGCTCAAAATTTTGCCTAATAAATACTATCTAAAATGTAGAAAATATAATGAGTAGAGAGCGGATTTTATGAAATTTGCATATCCGTTATTTTTTGCATATCCGTTATTTTTTGCATATAAGTCTTGATATTTAATATGTGAACGAATCATGCTTATTAAAAATGAATACAGCTATAAAAAAATTGCATATTTGCATATATTTGCCTTCTGTTGCATATTTCACGTAACGGGTGCATATTTTGCATTTTTTTCACTTTTTGTGCTAATTTGAAAAAAAAATGATTGTCATTCTACCAGCATTTATCTAGAAAGACGAAATTTCATTAATCATATTGCAAATATTGTTCTGAGCTTCAAATAACTAGGGAAGGTTTGGGTTTTATGGTAGTTTGGAGAAACCACTATGTGTTAAGCCATCCTTCAGGTAAATTTGGCCCTAATTACTTTTGGAAATACGTTCATTCCCAATATTTTTGTTCGTTGCTTCAGCCCATTAATGGTATGTTTTGTGGTGGTCGGAGGAACATTATCCTTTTATTTTTCATCGTGAGTTTGCATTAAAAGCATTTAAAGCGATACAAGTGTGTTAATAAGTCTAAGATAACTCAAAATAATTTAAGGATTAAACCTTTTCCTGAACTTATTCTTCAAGAAGGAACTGTGTTTTGTCGCGCCTGCTCTAAACCGCTAAGTAATTTTACATCTGTGGACGTAGTACGCAGTTTTTCTATTTTCAAATACATACTTTAGAATCACCGGAAAAACTTTTTGTTAGAACATTTTGAAAAATATTTAAAAATAAATTGTTACCAAAATAGTAATTAAATAGTCGATTATTACTACTATTTTTTAATTTGTTCTGTTTATATTTACTTTTTAGTATAAGAATATTATCATTAAAAATGTGATTTATGTGTTAGTGAGATGTAATTAAACACCTTGCAATGTGATTTATATATTTTTTGCAATAAAACGTAAGCTCGGGAAACCTGTTTTTGTAATTTGTAAATAAATTTAGTTCGCTTATTAAGCTTTTTTTTTAATTTTTGGAGCCTATGCAACTGCATATTTCTGCATATATTAAGAAAGTTACTGCATATTTACATAAATTTGGTGCATATCATATGATCATATTTCACAAAATTTTGCTGCATATTTTCCGCTCTCTAATGATGAGCCTGTACTACAGACTTTTTAAAATTGTTATAGGCATAGTAAATTGTTAATCAAAGTAAATCTGTTTCCCCAAAAAATTGATGAAGTTATCTCAAAATTTTGCCCAATAAATTCTACCCAAAATGTGCAAAATATGATGAGTTTTTACTTGTGATTCATCACTGCATTCATATTTTTTATTGATCAAATTAAGAACGAGTCACCCCATTTTCCCGAAAATGTGAAAATATAAACGTCTTTATTTAATAAGAATTATAATAATGATTCAAGAACATTTTGTCGATTGTACCCTACTACTTAATAGTTTTGATCCTCTGTTTTGAGGGGACGAACTCATTCAAATCAAACTAATTCTACGTGACATTCTTCCGATGTATAAACATAAACACTTTCAAGTTGTTTTTCTTATCGAGGATAACCTAAGGACGTACAGTATTGGAATCCGTCGGGCAATTTAGTACTTTCATATTTTCTCGATGTTTCATAACCCCTAGACAAGGCCGTAGTAGTAGGAGATGCTGAGCCTATACATACGGCATCGGCAGACGTGGTTAAATTGTTGCATTATTTTATTGATTATAAATCACTATTCAAGAATAACAATTATAAAATACTTTTATTATTAGTATTACAATGCATCTATCCAAACTGGTATATGCGTCCTTACAAAAATGTGGATGAAATCAATACAAAATTTTGTAATAGAAAAACTCATTTGTAACAAACGGTTAGCACGTTTCTTTACCTTTACTCAAACATTACTTACATATTTTTATTTTAGCTTATTATAATGGTTGCCATAAAAAAGAATAAAATTCGCAAAATCAAATCTTTTAATTTTTCCAAAGAGCTGGATTTGACAAGCTGTACTTTATGGGCGAGGGAAGTTCTTTCGAAGTAACCTTCGACCAGTTTTTTAAATTTGTGTAAATTATGTTGATTCAGAGATACTTTAGTAATAATCATAATTAATTAATCATATTCATTATCAATGCCAAGACAACGAATATTCATTCATTCAAAAGCTCTAAAGAAGTAAATGAAAGAACGCACTATTAGTTTCTTTCTTCAACATTTATATTTTATCACCAAAGCTTATAACGATCTTTTGCAGGAATAATTTAAACATGCGTCAAAAAAGGCTTCTGCTAGAAAGGAAGAGATAGCCAGAGCGAGAAGTTACTGAGTGCTTGAAAACTTTTTCAATTTCGGTACGTGTAACAAGATAATGGCACAATCAGAATACTTAGATAAAGCCCAAACAGACCATTGTGTTAAGTTTTAAGCTAACACGTGATATTTTGGTTGTGTTTAAAGTACCGACCAAAGTGCCGTGTCACCGCAGCCTCTTTCAACTGGAAGAATTTTCAGTCATGCACATGTGTAATTTAGGTGAAGTTTTAAATTTCATTTTTGTTTGTTTGTTGTTTTTTTTATTAAATTTTTCCAGCCTAAAGTTCAGAAATAGTCGTACTGCGCAGTTAACTTACCAGTATGAGGCATATTCTGACTACTTCTTTGGTTCTCCGCCTGTAACAAAAAACTTCCTAAATTAGACAAGTGGCTAAAAAATGTGTAAATAGGCGAGCTTTTTAGGGGTGACAGAGCAGATCGTTGTTGTACATTGTTAATGGCACCCCCCTGGTACAACCACTCATATAAAACACGTCACGTCGAGAGCGTGACGAAGGGTCGTTAGTGAGCTTTGAGATGTAAATGTCGCCGAGGTGGGCCCGATTAAACGAATTAAGCGTTCGGCGCTCACCTGTACCGTGCTATTTTACAGTCGGCACGGAACAGATTTGTGATACACAAATTCCAAACACGCTCCCGATATTTATGGACTAATCTTATCGCTGGCTGACTGCCCGCTATATCAATTAAACTAATACACGACGACAATGAAGGAAATTTTACGTTTGCTGAAAACCATTTCATTGATACCATCGACTGTTTCGTGATACCTTCATTACGCTGGAATGAAATATTTAAACGAAAATAGCGAAATTATTGAAGCGTTAGTTCTAGAAAAGACATTTTATGATGGACATTGCTCTGAACAGCAAACAAGGAAAATGCGTGCTGCATGAAAACTTCAAGTTTAATACACCCAGCTAGGAAAAAACTTGATATTTACACAGAGACTCAGATCAATAATGTATAATTTATTGTTATAATTGCTTGTGGTTGCTGCTTACTAATACAAATTACATTAAACAGGCACCTAATTTAACGCAATATAACACATGTATATGTAGAGGAAGGTAGGGCTAGGCGAAATACGTAAAATAAATTAAGCATCTTTCACTTCTGAACCATAAAATCACAAATTAAAATAAACTTAGGTTACAACAGTTATTTTCACTAGGGAAGCAAGATTTATGTTATGTATGTACAAACCCCAAATTCCTCAACGCTGACTGTTACTGAGATATCGGTTTGATGAAACACGTAGAAAAATTGCATACATGAGGCGCATTCATAAACCACGAGTACAGAAGTATTTTATTTTATAAAGTTTAGATTACCTTTACTAAGTAAAATGACGAAGGGACGTCATCAAATTGTAGTGGAGATGATTAGACAAATTTTAGTTAGTCATTTACCAACTACACGATACTCATAAATCACATATAAAATTTAACATCAGTATAATAAAAATCGAGACAGACAGACTATAGGTGTCAGAAAACGTCGAAAAAACATGAAAGTGGTCATTCGCCGGATGGACCTCTATTACAATACAAGAAAAACATTTAATAACTCATCATTGAAGCACACTCTGAGATCTTGCCTTGTCTTTGTTTTTGTAGTCTATTTTTATTGCTAAAAACTCTTTATGAAGCTTTAAATATGTATAGTTACAGTTCGAATTGAAATAATATATGTATGTATGTGCCTCAGTGTATTGAAAAATACGTCGTGATATACGATATTGCTTGTATTGTTTTCATGTTTTCTCGATTTTTTATGGCCACCAGAGTACGAAAAAGTAGGTGCCGTGTTTTCATCTCTCTGTTTGTCGTCTATCGTCCCTATCAATTTTTATTAGACATATTAACTCCGGAACTACTGGACCGATTGTCTTCAGTTTTTATTCGTATGTTAGGAATATCATGTAGGCAGTAACTAAAATTTGTATAATTATCCCACCAACAATGCGGTGACGTCATTGGTAAATGTTATTTGAATGTTATAGAATAAAATATTCCTGCGATTGTAGTTTTTAGATCCGTGTTCAATTTTTTCCATACGCATTTTTGGAAAAAATCAAAATTATACATTTTTCAATTTAACTTTGAAATTGTTAAACTAAATGTCCTGAAATTTTGCAAGCGTTGTAAATCGTTAATCAAAATCTGTTTATCCCTTCTAAAAGAACACTGATGACGTCAACTCAAAATTTTTTCGGATAAATCCTATCTAAAATATGTAAAATATTATGAATCAATACTTGTGGTTTATGAATGCATTCATATTTTTTAAAATTACTTGTACAAAATGACAAAAAAATCATTGAAGCAATGTTTATTTTATCTATCAAAAACGCTCCTCCCGTTTTCTCCAAGTATACAATAATGTTATTCTAGGTACTACACTGCACCTATTCAGATTGATATAATATATGTGTCATTGATAAAGTGTTGATGATATTATCACAAAATTTTTGAAAAACTCACTTGAAACTCGCACAACATGCTTCTTTAAATACACTCTAACAGTCTACACATTTTATTTTAATTTACTGGGGTTATCATAAAACAATTGGTAGAAGGCTATTTCAACAGACCTTCTCTCGTTTGTGAAATAGAGTAGAAAAGTAAAAAAGCGTACTACGCGGTTGCTTCAGATGAGTTTTTCCATGACAAAATTTTTGTGATGACGTCATCAACATTTTTGCAAAAACACGTATATCAATTTGGATATATGCAGTGTAATACTAACATTTACAGTCCTGTATTCCTAAATTTTTGGGAAAATAGAGTGAGTCACTCTTAATTTAATTAACAAAATAAATTGTCTTATTTGTTAATTTTTTTGAGTCACACTGTATAAGTAATTCTAGAAACTATGAGTACACTGACAAACCACAAATATAGAGTCATATTGCATATTTCAGACAGGATTTATTAGATGTTGATGAAGATAATCTTAAAGTCAGATAGTCTGGAGACACAGAGACAGACAGACAGACGGAAACGGGAAATCACTTTTTTTGTACTCTTGGGAAGGAAAAAATTAAAACTGCAAAATTTAACATTATGACTTTTTGTCTAATGCGAGGGAACTTCTGACTAAATAACTGTACACAATTTTTTTTAAAGACCTGGACGCGTAATGTTAAAAATATCGATGCATTATCAGACCACAGGTAAAAAGAACACTATAAAGTTTAGGAGAGATCTATTGAGCAAAATTTTGTGATGATGTTATAAAGTTTTTAGTGGGGAATATGGCATACATTTTTAATAGAATTCTACCATCTACATGATAATTTTTAAAAGTACACTTACAATTTTAGAGCAATTAGTGGAGGCGGTTTAATGATCACCAACACAAGACAGACGGAACCGGAAGATCGGCATTTTCGTATTCTACAAGCTGGGAACAAGAATTTAGACATTCCTAGGTAGGGAAATAAAAAACTTAAGTGGTCAATGTTAACTACTTACTTGTTTATGTCCTACTGTCAGTTATTAAGCAAATTTCTGTACGCTATAATTCGTTTAATTCGTGGTATTCAGATTGGGGTTAACTCGACAGGAGCTGTAGAAATTTGGTTAATCAGCTGTTCTCGTATTCAGAGCCCGATGTTTTAAGCACATTAACTAAAATTGTAAATCCGTACTCCCTAAGGGTAAAAATGCGTGATAGCCGATGCAAATGAGAGCTAACTACCAGAATAATTTGGCTTGAACACGTCGCGCTTGTGATTTTGATTTACATTAATTTCATATTTTTCAACATAAAACATAATCAATATTTAAATTATTCATGCATTGCCCCTGTATGCTTTATAAAATCATGGTTCTGCTTACGTGATGGAAACTTACAAAAATACAAATTAAAGTTTTTATTGTGAATATTATTTATATTAGAAAAAAATTGAAACGTGATAGAAATCTAAGCATAGAAATAGTACATTCGATCTCATCTTTATGATTAAAATTGCCATATTTTATTAGTGTAATTCAGGTTTGATGCTCAGGGTCCTGGAGGTCCGGAGATGGTCTTTCTGATTATGGTAATTACCAATAAACAGAGCTAATCAAATATCAATCATAACAGAAATCAGAGGCGGTTGGAATGGCTACCTGTCTAAAGACAGGCTATAAATAATTCAATTATTGAAATGTCGTTACGGTGCGGTCACTCGACTACCAACTGGGTGGCTTCATTAGGACATTGTTATCATAACCGCTTTAATATTAGTTATTATAACGACGTACATTCCGCTCCCACAAATAAATTATCCAAATTATTAGGAATATGATTGGCGATTACTAGGACACCCTGCTGATTTCGTTGAAGGTTTTATCGGCGACCATGTGAGTTCCATTACGGTGTTTGTCGCTGATGATCTTTGCCTAATGTCGTTTGATCATTAGTTAGTCCGCCAGAAAGATAATTATTGACTAAACTTTTTATTTGAAAATAAATATATCAAAAATTAAGTTACATGAGCTAAATTATATTTTCATGGATGTATTTTACATTAAAAAACACTATTTCAAATTCATAACTTATAATAATAATCACCTCTAAAAATACACAAATTCGGCCAGTGTCGTGCTTGTTTATCAATATTTCCACATTTTTATAATGAGGTTATTTTTACTTTTTCGGCAAAGTTGTTCACAGAAACTAATAGATACACTCAGTCACTAAAGTGATTCTTTTAATTGTTTGTGTGAACTAAGGTATTTAAAAGACAAAATTAATATAATTAATTAATCCAAAACTAAGCCCTGCTTGATAACCCAGGCTCTATTTCCATATACGTCTATGGTTACACCTTTTTCACGAGTTTGAATTTTTAAAAAATATTGTTCTATAATTTTTATATTCACGATGCTGTTCAAAAAACTATTTTTTTTAAATGTGGCCATTGTAGAAATTCGTCCAACCTGTTTTAGTGATTTTTTTCTTTAAATAGACTCTCCTCTAATTGATCTCCAGTTTATTATTCTTATCTTCTACTATTTTTAACACAACTATGTCCAGATTTTTAACGGTTTCAAATGAAATTTAATAATGTTGGATTGAATAAATACCCTAATTCAAATTTTCAAACGCAGAACTTATTTGGGAAATTCTGTCTTTATTTTTTATTTTCATTATATTTCTTCTGAGGTTCTATAATTTACTACGTTGGATAAATACTGGTTTCGAAATGCAATTTTTTTTCAGAATTAACTATATAGACGTACAGTTATAAATTGCATTTTAGTTTATTTAATATTATTATAACTCAGGCTACGAAAATTTTCTTCAAATTAGGTCATGGTCGAATTTTCATTAAATTCCTT